GTGACTTGCCAAAGGTCACACAATCATGACATATCTAAATGTGGGAGAGGGACATAAACCTAGGTCTTCTAGAGATACAAAAGAGTATATTCCATTTATATGAAATTTTAGAAGAAGCAAACATCCCTAGTGATGGAAAGCAGAACAACAAAAGGGGGAGGGGACCAAACTACAAAAGATTATGAGGAAATTTTTTGGAAGAAAATTTTCTATAGTTGATTCTTATGATCATTACAGTATACTGATGTGTCAAAACACATTGACTATCCACTTTAAATGAGTGCATTTGGGCCAGGGACTTAGCTCAGGGGTTTTGCCGCCTGCTGCACAAGCGCAAGGACCCAAGTTCAATCCCCGGTACCAAAAAAATAAAAATAAAAAAATAAATGAGTGCATTTATTAATGTTTAATTTTTCTTCATCCAACTCTGACTCAGAATTCAGTACTCCTATTTCAGGTGACCCCCAGTTCTGATGTCACAGATCTGGGTGGTCCTATGTCCTGCAAGAGTTACTCTCGAACCCAGACCAGATCAGAGTTCTGAGATCAAACCAGGACAGCAGTTGGGAGAGGCTGTGGGAATGCAGGGCTGGTCCAACTGACTAATCAATTGGCAAAACTCAAATGTAAACATTGTACTCCATCTGGGACCCTCCAGCACTGGGCCAGGCCTTGCTGCAGTTCAGGAGAGCTGGCCTGGGCTTACTAACCTGGGAACAGAAAACCTGCCCTGTTGCTAAAAGCTGGATTTCCATGAGTCCACTCATTCCTGGGAGAGGCAGTCAACCCAGAACTGCCTTCCTTCTGAGTGTGCAGCTGAAGTCAGAGACAGCCAGGGTAATTTAGAATATCCTTCTCCAAACAACGAACAGTTTAGAGTAAGACTTAAACTTGATAAGTTCCCTGGTAACCTCTTCTAGTTTGCTTGTGACCTCACTAACCTGGCCCAGATTTCAGCCCCTTAAGAACAATCCTTGGAAAACTGGACACCCGTGCTAATTAAACTGGTTTTTGATGGCCAGCAAGCCAAAGAGAAAGAAAGAGGGAGCCACACTGAGGGTCAGCAAACAAAGATGAAGTTTACCCACTCCTCCCATGATAAAAGCTCATGAAGAGATTTTCAGAGCCTCAGCATTTGCAGTTCTCTTTAGCCTCAGAAGAATCCCAGTCAGCTCAGAAGTCCAGAGTTCTGATAATCTAGTGCCAAGGGCTGACATGTAAGGACAGGAGTCCTTGTAGGCTGAGAGCTAACTTCATCTCTAGGTTACTGATCAGCAGGCAGGACTCAGGGATGCAGTGTCCTCTAATGGCTCCTGTCTTAGAAATAGGGAGGAGCTGGGTCCAGACAAATCCCACGAACTACCATCTGCTCCAGCAGTCTGTCCATATGTGGTGGGGTTTCTCGGTGTGTTCAATTCTGCTGAAAGGGGCCCCAAGCTGTTGACCTTTCATCCCTGGTGGCTGTGCCAGCCCTGCTACTACTGTTATTGCTGTTGCTGTGACTGCCAGTGAAAACTAATGCCACTTTGGGGGATGGAGAATAAATGTGAGTCGGGACAGAGGTGTCGCAAGATCACATAGCTGAGTAATACATACTATGATGGGACATGTAAACATTAAGATGTCTTGTGTTGTTTGCTCGGTCATTCCATCTGTCGTCAAAGTGGATTCTGCTGGGTTATGAGCTCAGAGGTCAACAGCAAGCCCACGGAGATGAACCTCACAAACTCCCACCCCACAAGGCCACTGATAACTGTGTTGAAAACCTTGGGTAAGAAGAGATTCATGCTCCAAAATCCAGGTCTCTTTCAGATAAACACTTGGGGGTCCTTTCACCCCTTCTTGTTTTGTTTAAACTTCTCTTTATCCCATTCCTCCATCATCCTCTTCACACCCCCTGCTGGCAACATTCCTAATGCAGATCTCCTGGTTTGGATGCAGGTATGGTACCAGGTGGCTCTCTGGGACAGCCACACCAGCTCCCACCTTTCCAATTTTGCTGATCTAATGAGTGGACCTGGAATTGTTGCTTTAGTGTTCTTCGGATGGGCCTGAGCATCTCCCCGTTGGCTTGGTGACTTTGGGTCTGCTTCTCTAAACTGCCTGTTCATCCTCTTGGCCCATTTCTTCCCACTGGCATTTTCTTTTTATTGTGGGTTTACAGGAGCTTGTCTGCTCTTGACAATTTAAACTTTGGTGTTACCCATGGCAAATATCTTCTTGCAGCCCCTACACCTACAGGCAGGACTTTTGCCAACCATTAAAGCAAATTAAGCATAGTAAGAGAAGGAAGTTGAGAGAAGATGAGGTAAGATTTTAAGATGAGTTCAAAATTAATATATTAAATGGAAAAAAATACAAAGCTATAAGACACTTTTGTACCTAAGAATTCAAAATAAAAGAAACAAACAAGCACTGTGTAAAAAGACCAAGAAGTTAAAATTAAGTATTAAGGGGAAAATACTTTTGAAAACAGTACAAAAACATTAAAGAATATTATTTTTAAAACTTCATGAGAAAAGGAAAATGATGTAGAAGCCACAGAAGTAGCAATTAAAGGGGCAAAACACCACTTAATGTAGAAACAAAAAACCAAGGAACAAATAAGAGAATGCACAATGACAGCAGATACTAAGCAAACCTGACTGTAGTTATAAATAGAATAAGACAAAAACGGGGTGGGGTGGGGGGAATGCAACCAAGAGGAAAAGGCTAGATTGAGAATTAGCTGCTAAGTCCCTATCAGCCAACACCTGTTCTTGGGGGCCCTGGGGCAAGCGGAGAGGCCAACTCCAATGGTCAGGAAGCAGAAAGAAGCCCAGGCTGCTTTTGGATCAAGTACCAGTTTGCACAGTAGGCTGAGGCCAGCAAAGAGCCTGGCCAGGGCCTTTGCATTCCAAGCCACTCCCTATGCCCTGGCCAGTGGCCAAGGCCTCAGGGCCTTACACAATAGCTAGTCAGTCCTTCACCTGGCCATAGGAATTCTGGGGCCCTAACACTGTCCTCCCACCCCACTCCCCCATTCGTGTATCTCCTACTTCCCAGCCTCTTGCTCGCTTCCTGCCTTCAAGAAGTAGAGTCCACAAGTGGGAATGGAATCCAGAGCAAATGCTGCACTGGGAATCATATTGGCCCCTCTTAGGCAGGAAAGGAGATGGACTGTCTGAACAAGTTCAATACCACCCAAGAGTGCACAAGGCAACAGGTCCATGATTCACCCCAGGTGTCAGCATGTCAGCTTCACTTGCTAGAGAAGCAATGATCCAGGGACCACAAGGCCTGCCCAGACCACCTGTCAGACAAACTAGCTTTTCACCCAAAGCAGCCAGCTGTAAAACGAGCTGACTGGTTAGGTCCAGTTGCAATGACTCAAAAAAGATTCAACTGACAATCATCCAGAGGTCCATCATCCTGTTTCAACACAAATTGGAAGGCTGAGGAAAGCCAGGTGACTAATTAGAAATTTTTAAAAATACCAGACCTTATCTTGAGGTGAAGAAAAAATATGGGGGCTAAGACCAGCTAGCTTGAATTCTTCCAGGGAGATACAAAGGCAGATAGTCTCCCCTGCTCCAAAAGTTCACTGGAAATTCAGTTGCTTGGCATTCAGATTTACGTCCCCAGAGCAGTGATCCTAGGTGCTGATGCTGCCAGCTGGCCCACATCCACCCAGCCCACAACCTAGCAGTTTCCAAGGTTTGTTTTCATTTTGAATTGGCTTTTAATTGGGTGGCTGAAATGGGACTGTTAGTAATTTTGTAAAAATTGAAAGAACTACCACCTGATTCACCATCGTGCTATCTCCAGTCTGCTGACCTATTCTCCCTCCTTCCTCTTTCCTTCCATCCTTCCTCTCTTCCTATCTCACTCATTCCCTCCCTTCTTCCTCTCTTCCTTCCTTTCTTCCCTTCCTTCCCTTTCTTTCTGAGGTGGTAGAGATCAAATCAGGGCCTCATGCATGATAGGCAAGAACTTTGCCATTAAGCATATCCCTGGTCCTTTTTTATTTTGAGACAGTAACTTACTAAGTTGACCTCTAACTCATGATCCTCCTTCCTCAGGAGGTGGCTGAAATTACATGCATCTACCACTGTGCCCAGCTAGGCCTCCAGTTTTTTGGGGGCAACCATCTCTACTCCTATTCCTGCACCATCTATACAGCCCAAGGACTGAACCAACATCTTCTGACTGGACAGTGGCCCACAGGTGCAAACCAAAGCAGGGGCTCCTCTGACATCAATGTCCAATACACAGGGAATCCATATGTGGAAAAACCAGCAGGGCCTATGCAGGCCACAGCCCAGAAATTATATAAAGGCACCCCTTGGCCACGGTCTCAGGACTTTTCTGTTGTGGGTCTCTGACAATGAGCATTCATCTCCAACCACACCGTGCTGTAACAACACAGGAAATAAAACAGGGAGGCCTGCCATGGTGTGGGCTGCCCTCTGACAGGTGAGGAACAAAGCAGACATACATACTCAGAATCAGGCACTCAAAGATAAAAGGTAGCAGTGAAGGTGTGCTTTTGTCTGTTCAGACCACATGGGCTCCCATTTTGGACTTCTGGTCTCAAAGCTAAGGTTATGGATCCTGTAACTGTCCCCTTTCCCATTGCAATGTAACCTTAAAAATAACATGTTTCTGAGCCTACTACAGAATGATCCAAATGGGAACTGGCAAAAATTAGCACCTTTTTTGGTTTTCCTTTACATAATGTGCCATCGTTTGTTTTAATAAGGTCTGGAGGGCATTTGGACACATAATTGTGCTTTAGGGGTTTCTTGTGACCATGTGACGCTGAAAGCTGTTATATGCCACAACTTCAGTTTTCTTGGCTAATGTCAGGTCCTCATTTTGAACAAATGTTAATTTTAACAATTAAAATATAGACAATGAGGGCCAGGAAGGTAGCTCAGCAGCAAAGCACATGCCTGGTAAGTGCAAGGTTCTGAGTTTGAGTCCTAGTACCGGAAAACAAACAGACAATGAGATCCATGGATGGGAGGGAATACATTTATCTTAGGTATAAAGGTTTACTATTATTAACAAGTTATCACTACTATTTACATGTTTATAAAATGAAAATAAAAATGACATACAGGTTTGGTGCCAAAAGTGGCACATCCAAACTAAAATGAGTACAAAAATAAATTTTCAAGCTACGTGTATTTAAAATAAATGTCACTGAAAGAGTGAGGGGAAGAATCTGCCTCATCATGTGCTGAAATGCAATCATCACAGCAGCAAAGCAGCCCTGGGGCAAATCAGTGCCTGCTGGAAGGGCTGCCCTGTGTGTTCTTGCAAGAATGCAGGCTGACAAACAAAAGACAAATACTATATAACTGAGTTATGTTCCTGAGCTACAGAAGTTTAGAGCATCTAAACTGGAGTGAATTCCTGCTAAGAAGGCACCCCCCATGGGGTCAGAGTGGAAGAGCTTTTCACCAGTGCTCAGCTAGTGGCACCAGAACACTGCATTGTACTTGGAGAGAATGCTAAGTCCACTGGGGAAGGACAGATCCTTGGTGAACCAGGAAAGTGTGCAATCCTTCCCGTGGGCCACCAGTCCTTCGAAAGTCTACTGGCTGCAGATAGGCAGGGATGCGGGCAGAGGACACAGAAGCTGCTTGGTTTGGGAGCCCTTGTGCCCGATAGACATCATCCTTCATGATCTTGGCGGAAATCTCCAGTGTTTCCAAGGCCTCCTGCCTTCAAAGATACACACTGTGCATGCCTGGCACTGGACAACACAGCCATAGCTGCAGCAGGGAAAGCAAAGCCAGCCCAGGACACCCTGTCTCCACCCGCACTGTGCATCCGCAAGTTGGCTCTCAGAGAGGCTGACTTTCCTCCTCCTTCCTGGAGGTGGGCAGGCCCGTGCACCTGTTGTGTCATGCTGGGTTAGTGAGCCAAGAGCACAGCCCAGCCCACTCCCACTCTGCTTGGGTGCAGTGCAGGATGCCTGTCCATGCAGGCTCCTCTGGGATCCCAGCAAGGACTGCAAATGCTGAGGAGAGCAGGAAGAAAGGGGCCAACAAGCAGGCTGCACCCATTCCAGGGCTTCTGCAGGTTCCACATGAGCTGTGCCAGCTCAGCCAGGGCAGCATGGAGCAGGGGACACCAAGCAGCCCCAGCAGCCACACCTGCACTTGCTCACTGGTCCTGGACCTTGGCCCTCTTGGCTTTCAGGAACAGGTGCTAGAAAAAAAGAGAAAACACCGTAGTTGAATGGACAAAGAAATCAAACTCCAGCATAATTCCCACAGCAGTGATCAAATCAAGTCATTCATTTGATCCAGGCCCTGTCTAGAAATGCTATATCCTCAGAAAACTCTCCCAGGGGAAAAGCCCATGTGACCAGTACAGCACACAGGTCTTAGGAAGGCTGTAAGCAGCCCCAGGACAACCTACCACACGGAACCTGGCTACACAGGGCCCCGTGCCAGCTGCCAATGAAAGGTTTGCCTTTGAGACAACTCCCTGGACCCCAGCCCACAGGCAGACTGCTGCTGAACCCCTATGCTCAAAGGGCTGTCCTTGGGGAGGGATGACTTCAGTGTTTCAATAAGTTCCCAACAACAGTCAAAGAAAAGCACCCTCTCCTTAGGAACCAGGGAATTAGATGATTTGCCAAGTGTCTCAACACGGCAGGTGCTACACTCAAGAACAGAGCTAAAGCTACAGCCCTGTCTGCTAAGGGGACACACTAGCTAGGAAGACAGACAGAAAAAGGATACTTCCTAGTGACCCTTTTCCCAGAAATGTCACTGTAAATACAAATAACACATGAAGTTTACTAAGATTATCATCAGAGGTATCAGTCAAGAATAAGGGATAAAAATACATTTTAAGGTAAAACCAGAGTGCTAGAAATCTTAAAATATGCATTTAAGGTGGGATATGTGCACCACCTTAATAAGGTGGGCCTCCGCTAACCAACTGAGGAATATCTGATACCCTGCCAATCATTCTCCCTCCTGCAACTGCTAAGTCTCAAACCCCATTTCCCAGCATACCCAATACGGCCACCCAACAGCAAGCCCTGGCCCCATCACACAGAGAACTACAGGCCCCCAAAAGAAGACATAGCACACGGCCACTGGAATCTGAGCGATGAGTCAGCAACAGGACCCTCATCTGAGACAGCAGCCAGAAGTCAGACTTTCTCTCTACTCACACCTGAGGAAGGACGGCCAGGCTAGAACTGTTTGCCCTAGATAACAATGGTACCTTTGAGAATCAGAAAAAAGTTTAACAATTAGAAGACAAATCTCTCAACAGGAATCTCTGCAAATTCTCTCCTTTTGGTACTTCACCTGATAGGACCCTACAACTAATATTAGACATCCATAGCCTTAGGTTGGGAATGGGTGATGACAACATCCTGCCCGTGGGGCCATTTTTGGTCCTCATTTCTGGAAGGAATGTTGGTTATAAACAAAGCAGACTCTGAACCATTTCGGGCCTCTACAGAGTGAGAGCAACACTGAAAGACAAGAGACAGAAAGTGACCACGGTGCCAGGAACAGAGCACAGCTGATCTGTGGGCGGTGCATGATTTCAAGGCACTGAATTATGTTTAACAAAGAATACTTACCATACATGGGCAGCCCCTGGAGACCCAAGAGGGCCTAGGAAAATCAATCTGCTTTGGACAAATTAATAGTAGAAGTGTTTTTGAATTATTTAGTTAAGAAAGGACGAAGTTTCCAAGGTGGGGGCCTCACTGTACAATGAGGTTCTTGGTTTCTAAAAGTCTCAGCCTCTCTAAAAATACTCAGATTGCAGTGGAAGTGATGGGGTGAAACCAGGCATTTAGAAAGAAGAGACAAATCCAAAAAGTTGAGCTTGTCATTTCCTTCAAACTTTTGAAGCTATTTGCTCTTTAACTTTGTGCGTTTAAGCTAAAGGAACTGTAATTTTGAGCTGAGAAGGGAAAATGACTCAGATTGTAGGCTAATTCTGTTCTCCAAGAGCCTAAATGAATCCAAGACACTTCCAGGCTTATCCCTCTCTAATTGCTAGCACCCTATTACCTAACAGGCACATTTACAAGTGTACCCTTCTCTCCACTTCTGGTTTACATTTCTAATCACTTCTCTTGCATTCCTGAAGTCTGCTGTTTTCCACTTGAGAGGTTTTGAAGGAAAATATTTTCTTCTACTGTAGGTTTACTCTTATCAACCCAATAGAGTACAGGCAACGTACTCTCCATTTTCATCCATTTCTTCAGATCTGGTTTCAAGCAGAAATATCTATATTGGGATGTATGGAGAACTATAAAGGGCTGGGTTCAGTGTCACACACCTGTAATCCCAGCTACTTGGGAGGCTGAAGCAGGAGGATCAAGTGTTCAAGGCCAGCCTAGGCATTTTAGCAGGGGGGTTTTATGTCAAAAATAAAAATTAAAAGGAAAAAAAGGTGGGAGATACTACTTAGTGGAGGAGCACTTGCCTAGCTGGCATCAGGCTCTGGATTCAATCCTCCGTACCATAAAAAAACAAAAAAAACTATACACATTTGAATTGCCTTCTGTTTGACTGGATAAGAATTCAGTATTATAAGAAGACTTAAAAAGGGCAATTCTCCTTGACATTACAGAGGAAGAGGGATGAGAAGACCCTTCCATTTACAGGGTCACAAACTCAAAGGTCTCCAAGAGCTGAGCAAGTGAATAAACAAGTGAACCAGGTCTGTGGCACATGGAAAGCAGCAGCCATTCCTTGGCCCTTGCTGACTGTCACCAAGCGGCAACTTGGGCTTTGTGTGGCTAGATTTAACATTTATTTCAAGAAAAGCCAGACATTCGTCTTCAATTGAAAAAAAAATTAAACCTCCTTCCTACATTGCCCAGGCTGATATCCAACTCCTGGGCTCAAGTGAGCCCTACCTACCTCAGCCACCCAAGGAGCTGAGACTACACACAGGCACATGCTACCAACACTGGCTTAAATCTCCAAATTTTTAAATGCAGCAATCAATTCAAATTTTGGTTTGAAACACTGTGCGGTCCAGTTCCAGCCCTGATAAAGAGTATCAGGTCTCAGAATTTCCCTTATGCTATACATAACAGTAAACCTGCACAAAATGTCTGATGTAACTTTTTTCAAGCATTGGAAAATAAACAGCACAGGGCTCTAATTTCTAATGCTCTGTGTGTGTGCGCCCGCACGCTGAGGTTTGAACCTAGGGCTTCATATATGCTAAGCACATGCTCTACCACTGAGCTACACCCTCAGCAAGGGCTATAATCCTCAAAAAAGGAAACAAACGTGAGCTTCACATTAATTTGGGATCTCTATGTAGGTCTCCAACCCCTGGGAAATAAACTCTAAAAAGAGAAGACCAGAGGGAACAGAGATGAGTCCAGGGCTGCTGTGACAGCTGGAATTTGCAGAATAGAGCATCACAAAGGAGGCGCTCCAAGTCTACACAGGGGTATCCTGAAGCCTTTGGCTGAATTCCAAGCTGCACATGTGCAGGCCAAGAATTTAATGAGAATGGCAGAGATCATTACCAAGAAACTATAAGCCAAAATGGAGATTCTGTAGGTTTGTGCAGTTATGGAGAAGATGGAACTTTGACCAGTTTGAGTACTGAGACCTTGGCTCAGTATCCTAGGCATTTGACTGAGACATCAAAAGAGCTGTATCAGACATAGCTAAGACCTCCCCTATTAAGGACTACAATCATGTCTCAGCAGAACCAAACTGAGGTGCTAGTAAATAAACTGATGTCCAGAAAAAACCCTCAGCATTCTACACAAAGAAAACAAATCCAGACTCCATAACATATAGCATCTACAGTATCTAGCACACAACAAAAAATTACTACACAAGAGAAGCGGCAAAATGTGACACATTATTAGGAGAAAAATAGCCAAAAGACAAAATAGTGTATATCAGAAATGATAAGAGATGAAAGAGTAGACAAGACTTTTAGAACAGTTATTATAAATGTGTTCAAAGATTTAAAGAAAAAGGGCAGGGGATTTAGCTCAGTGGTTCCACCTCCTGCCTCGGAAGGTCCAGAGTTTGATACCTAGTACCAAAAAAAAAAAAAAAAGAAAGAAAGAAGAAAGAAAGATTTAAAGAAAAGATGGATACAATGAGTGAACACATGAAAGATTTAAACAGAAATTTTTTAAAAAACTGAAAAACAAAATGAAAGTGAGAGAATGGAAAAATACAATATATAAAATGAAATTTTCTTAAAAGGACTCAACAGCAGATTAGAAACTGCAAAACTCATCAGCAAACCTGAAGATAGAACAAGAGAAACTACCCTAACTGAAGCACAGGGAAAAAAAGATCAGAGCCAAGACAAGACTCAAGAGCAAGTATTGTAATTCGTATATAAATGGAATTCCAGGGGAGCTGGTAAAGAGTAATGCAGCACAAAAAATATCTTAAGGAGTAACTGTCTCATATATGATTTTAAACATCAGCTCAATGATCCAAATAAACTCTGTGAACTCCAAGCTAGATAAACACAAAGCAAAGCACCTCATACGTCATATGGCTGAAAATCAAAGATAAAGGGAAAAAACTTTAAAAGCAGCCACAGCAGCAGGGGGAACACATTACATACAGAGGAATGACCATGAAAATGGCAGCTGGCTTCTCACAAACACTTCAAACCAGATGGCAATGGAATAAATTTTAAATGCTAAAATGAAAAAAAACAAACAAAAACACTTTCAAGCTAGAACTCTACAGAACAAAAATATCTTTCAAAAATGAAAATGAAGGAGACATTTTCAAAGAAATGAATGCTGAGAGAATATTTAACCAGCAGGTGTGTACTAATAGATACACTGAAGGAAGTTCTTCAGGCTACAGGGAAAAGACACAGGTAGAAGCCTGGATCTACACAAAGCATGCAAAACAACAGAAATGACAGACATGTATTTCTTGCTTCTTAATCTTTTAAAAAGATAACTAATTGTTTAAAACAAAGACAATAACAATGTATTGTGAGGTTTAAACATATAAAGAAATAAAATATAAGACAACAAGACCATAAAGAATGAGATGGGGAAAATGAAGTATACTACTGTAGGTTTCTTAAAAGCTAAATAGTGTAATATTAATTCAAGGTCAATTATGGTAAGTTAAGGATGCATGTCATAACCCCCAGAGCAAACACACACAGCACCAAGACACATAAAAGGCCATTAGAAGAAATAAGAATACTAAAAATATGATTAATTTGAAGTAGGCAGCAAAAAAACGAAAAAAAAAAAAAATTACCCGAAGACTACATTAGAGGGACCTGAGGATCAGTGGAATAGACTACAAGATGCAGAAACAACTCCAGACATACTCAGCCACCTCATCTTTGACAAAGGAGCCAACCACCCTCACTGGAGAAATGACAGCCTGTGTTCACTAAATGGTGTTGGAAAAACTGGATTTCAACCTGCCAAAGATTAAAACTAGACCCATACCTATCACCGTGAACTAAACTAAGATCGAAGTGGATTAAAGAGCTAAATATTAAAACAGAAACACTAAACCTGCTGGAAGATAAGTTAGGTAGAACTCTCAAAGACCTTGGCATAGGTCTTTGAACAAATCCTCAGTAGCATGGGAACTAGCACAAAGAATTAACAACTGGGATCTCATCTTATTAAAAAGCTTCTGCACTGCAAGAGAAACCAACAGAGCTAAGAGTCAACCTACAATGTGCGAAAAAATTTTTACCAGCTGTTCCTCAGACAAAGGTCTACTATCTAAAATATATAAAGAACT